GTAAATTGTATGTATAAATCTTAGCGGAGATAGTAAAAAGGGGATTGTTTAGAGATTTTTTCCCCATCGGGTATAAAAATAAATAGAATTAAATATCAGCGGAGATAGAAATAAGTCCCGTTTAGGGTCCTGTTTATAGACTTTTCACCCACCCGGTATATATATCAAACATACGTACGTAACAATAGTGATAACAATAATGCTTACCATTTTAATAAATTCGTGTGACAACCGGTTATCCAGTTTAGGGTTTCCACTGGATTCTAATCGAGAGGACAGTCAGGTGGTCGGACCTTGAAGATGAGTGCCTTAATGAGAAAATTTCCAGTGGAATCTGGAAATAGAATACCTCCAGTGAAACTCCAAATGAAAAGGACAATTGACAATGCTCCAGCTAGGGGATCCTTAAATAGTGAGGACTTCATTAATATTTTCGATGAATGAATGCTAGGGTAGTGAAAAGACGAATAACTAGTCGCTGAGGCGAGTTTAAGAGCGATCCTGCCGGAGGACAAAAAAACCTTTGGTCCCAAATTTCTTTGCAAACTCTATAGTCTGCATATGTAGTGATATTGTATTACCAGTAATTAGAAGTAGATCAGCAATGAATAGGGATGGATACACTGCGAAGGCGGGAAAATCGGAAGTAAAATTATAGACGGAGTTTTTTGGACCACTATCTTTAACAACAAATAACTTGATCCAGGTTGATCTTACTACCAAAATGATCGTCTCAACAAGACGATTTCAATGAGTCCAAGATCATTCAAATCCAGTCACTGGATCCCGAGATCATTAAGATGTGCAGGCTGCGCAGTAGATTTGAAATTTTGACCCTAGCAATAAGTACAACCTAGGTATCGATATTTAATGGAGATATTTTTGGGTGAAAATATCACCTTTTATAATAATCCATTATACGTAAATTGTTTTATTATGTCTCTTTCTTAAAAATCATACGTGACTTCTAAATCAAAAATACCTTTTAAAAATTACATAAATCTATTCATTGTTGGCATTGGACATATATCCAACGCCAACACTGATCTATCAATGATTACTAATAATTTTCATTGCTAAAATTTCCTTATTTAAATTACGACGCACCTATCGCTATAATAATTAATCTATCAAATCCTATGAGACTAATAAATATCATTTATTTGGTCCGCTAATATAATCCACATGCACCATTTAATTAAATATGGTATACCTAATCATGTAACGTTTTCTCCACATTCGGAAGCGGAATCTTGTCCCGATAGTCGTTCTGTAATTTAAAGGTGTGTGTCAGTGCTGTAACATGCTTTTCTGCTAGGAATTTTTTTTTAATCGGAGGTTCAGATATGATGACTAATAAAATTTGTGAAACGCAAATTTTCCGCAATAGGTTTTGTGCTCAGGTATATTTCGAAATATAGAATGAATTGAATATTTCTACCAATGCTGCCGAAATAATTGAGGAGCAGACGATGGCATATGTCGCGTTTAGACCATAGTAGCAGAGCGTCGGATTTTGTAAGTATCTAAAAGGACGCATATTATCTTGTGGCAAAGAACCTAAGCAATCATCACATGTTGAGTACAAATGAGCAAATCTCGACAAACAATCTATGATTCATATGTGCAACAGAATAGCGAACATTCATTGTAATTGGTTAGATTTTGTTGATCATCTCGTGATTTTATTTGCTAATCACCTAAT